GTGTAACGGAAAGAGAACGATGAAAATCCCTCTGCAGCTTTTTTTGTTGAACTGTACCGTCATTTATCTGTTTCTTCTTCTTGTCGTGTATTTTAACTTTTGTTCAGATCTCGTTTAACCACATCTTTTGTTCTTCAGTCTTCCTCGTTTGAGCCTTTATTATGTGATTTTGATTAAAGACTTATCTTTTGTTACCTAAGTTTCCATTGCATGTTACCGGACTATTGATAGTAAGGTCGTGTTTGACTAAGCTCAAGGTCACGGCGTGGTTCAGTGTGTGTCTATTAATTTTTGACTGTCTGATTGGGAGGATTGCTGGAATCCCTGCGGATAGATATTTGATCCAATCTTGTTGGGAATATTTTTATTGATTCTCAGGTATCAAACCCTTTAGTATTAACTGTTTCCTTCATTGTTTAGTGCGCTACTTCTGACTGTATAGTACAGGCTGTACCGTTTGAGGTACTTTGTACTTTTGATATAATTTGTTCTGCCTTTCAAATTAGAACCGTTTAAATTGAGCACAGAGTTTGTGTTTTTATTTAATATAATACGAGTATCTCAAAAACGCGTTGTACGCTATACAGAGGAACGTAGTCTGGTCTAATTGAATAAATTTTGGCTCGTCAGTCCAGCGTTCTAACCGAATATTGCTTGTTCGGTTGTTATAAGGGGTTTTGTGGATATTATATTAATTTCAATGGTTGAAATCATGAGCTAGACTAACATAGAAAACCTGAAAGAACTGGAAAGCCGTTTTGTCCTAGTATGAGACTTCTCAGTAGTGCGCATCCACGATCCCGCACCCCGCGAGATTCAAACCCATGACCTATCAGTCTCGCGCGTGAGCGCTTAATCATTAGACCACAACTTGATTCTTCCCCTTCTTCCTTTTCTTCTTCTTCTTCTTCTTCTTCTTCTTCTTATTATTATTATTATTATTATTATTATTATTATTATTATTATTATTATTATTATTATTATTATTATTACAGAGATACATTAAACTATTCCATTTTCGAAGAAAACATTTCTTTTTCTTCTATGGTCTAGCTTCAGTTGACTCATGATCTCAACCACTGAAATTATGTGTTGTTGTTATTGTTGCTGTTGTTATTAAGTACCTAAAGAAAGAAAATAATACATTAATGTTCACATCATCAAAGAGTATAATTTATGAATGATCTTTGAGCAACGCTAAGGTGATCTTGATAATGTCTACCTATTTATTAGGACTAAATGAGGGTTGGAAACCAATGTGAGGAATTAGAATTATGATTTTACAGTTAATGGTTAACATTAGGAATCATTTTTATGGTTTTCATCATGAACTGATATTAGCTATAATGCCAAAACTTTATTTAACCACATGGATGACTGAATTTCGTATTTTACTGAAATAGATAAGTTAGTAATCATTTTCATTTATTCTTTCTTCTATAAATTTGAATGGAAACTAACACTTATTAATCTTTATCAAAAAGAGGTTGTGTGGACATTTTAGTAATTCAATAGTTGAATTCCTAAGTCAACTAAATCTAGACCACCTTGGAAAATCTAGAAGCACTGGATGGTCTTTTTATCCTAGTATGGAACTCCTGATCAGTGCGCATCCACGATCCCTCTTGCTGACTCATTAATTAAATGTCTATCATGAATAATAACTATAATTTTCTCTCTCTCTGTCCAAATAATCAATTTGTTTTATTTGATGAATTTGATGATGGACTTAAGACAATATCGACGTTTAAAGCGAACGGTACTGGGCTTGAACATCAACTGTGGGATGCAGGTACATCCAGCTGACAAGTCCCAAATAAAACGAAAGGTGTGTACTAGATTCCACTACTAGCCACTATCCATCTTTGCTTATAATGACTAACTAATGTAATGAAATTTAAATGAAACTATCTCATTGAATCAAACATGACTCAGTATCATTGTATTTCGTGTAACAAATATGTTAAGCTGTGGAAAAACAGCCATACGGATAAAAATGGTAGAAAATTATTAGGTATTTAAGGTGAGACTGCAAGTTATGGACGAGCCAATCAGAAACGCTTTGGAGATTTCAAGGTTACGGCACCAACTTCAGTGATTAATACTAACGTACGACCGGTTCATAGGGAATTTTGTACAAAACGTGATAATTGAGCGACTATAACAAATAAAACGGTCAGACTATAATTTGTGGACGAATCAACCAGGTATAACATAATAGTTCTCGGATTTTAACGCGAAAGCCTTTCATCCATTTGGCTAAATAAATTTCTGGCATTATAGGTGATGTCAGTTCGTGATGAAAACCCCATATTTAATTCCTAACTAAGGCAAATTACGGCAATTAACGCGAACTGGACAATAAAAGCACTAGTAACATTGGCTGCAGCCAGGTACTACAATATATACCGATGTTTGGAGAGCGTACAAACTCCTAAATATACTTGGTTATGTGCATCGTGTCGTTATCTACAAGTAGCATTTTGTGCACTCAACAACCGGAGTGCACATAACCAATATTGAAGCTATGTGGTCGAGGCTGAAAGAGTTTTTGAGAATTTATCATGGCTCCAGAGGCCGACTATTCTGTAGCCATATGGATGATTTCCTCTACTGCATGCATTACGATTTTAGGGCCTCTGAACCTCTTTCTAACCTTGACAAGTTTTTGAACCATGTATAAGAAGTGTATCCACTTTATTTCCTTGGTTTTGTAAAATATATTTTTACTCTATACTGAATGTGTGCTGATTGGCTAATGTTTATCAAGGTCACTTAAAATTCGTTCAAAGGTCATTCATAAATTAGAGTCTGGCCGTACATAAGATTTAAAAACTCAAATTCAACAAAGAAACATTTCATTGGAATCTTTTACTCATCCAATTTAGATCATCATTGGATCCTGGCTTAGCGATTTAGAAGTTTAGCGTTCCAATGCGTATTTAAAGATCGTGTGCCCAACTCTTTAGTGAATGGTCACTAATCGGCATTGCTGAAGAGTCCCATACTATGACCAAATAGCTATTCACTGTTTCTACCTTTTCAGTGGTTGTTTAACTTTGAACAATTCATAATATCAATGAAATTCAACAATCATCATATTCTTATCACTTACGAATAAACATTTCTTCATCAAGAATCGATATTATTATGAATAGATTTTATAATAATGAATAAAATCAATAGTCAATAAATGATTATTAATCGATTAACTAATGTAACTCAATATTTCCTCCATTAAGAAAATAAACAAACAGTAACCAATTTCAAAAACTCGATGGATACAAAATTAAATTTTAAAATGAAATTAATTAACGGAATATAAATAATTCAAATTCAAATGTATTTTAATAACAAGTTTATTATAATATTACATAATTTATAATGAGAACATTCAACTGTCATTAAACCTATAATATTGATTCTTCTCCTTTTTCTTCTTCTTCCCCTTCTTGTTCTTCTGCTTCTTGTTCTTGTTCTCCTTCTTCTTATTCTTCTTATTCTTATTAGTATTACATAGATACATGTAACTATTTCATTTTTGAAAGAAAACATTGATTTTTCTTTTTCTTCTAGTGAAAAATATAATGAGAAGGCGTTTTGTAGAGATTTTAATCATTTCAATAGTTGAAATCATGAGTCAATTGAAACTAGACCAACATGGAAAACCTGTAAGCACTTAATGGCCGTTTCATCTTAGTTTAGGACTCCTCAGCAGTGGGCATCCACAATCCCGCACCCCGTAAAACCCAAACCCAGGACTTATCAGTCTCACGCGAGAACCGCTAGATCACTGAGCTGGCCGGTATCCAACGGTGTTAATATCTAACTTCAACTAATTCACAAAATTGAGCGACATATCCACTATTGTCTCCAATGAGTTACTATCTCACAACACACGCGGTTGAACTTTACTGGTCACGGCTTCTCACTAGAACCCTAGGAAGTATCTTTTGAAGTCAGTCACTAGTGAGCAGATGATTATTATGAGAAGGGGTTTTGTAGAGATTTTAATCATTTCAATAGTTGATATCATGAGTCAACCGAAACTAAACCACCACGGAAAACCTAGAAGCACTGGACGACCGTTTTGTCCTAGTATGAGACTACTCAGTAGTGCCCATCCACGATCCCGCACCCCGCGAGATTCAAACCCATGACCTATCAGTCTCGCGCGTGAGCGCTTAATCAATAGACCACAAATCGATTCTACCCCTACTTCTTCTTCTACTTCTTCTTCTTATTACTCTTATTATTATTACAAAGTTACATGAAACTATTCCATTTTTGAAAGAAAACATTGATTTTTCTTTCCCTTCTAGTGAAAAATATAATGATTCTTATATTAAAAGGAAAAAATGATTAAATATCTTCATATTCATTCATAATCTTTATTTTCTATGATTGAACTTCAGAAAAATAGTAGAAATATATAATGATTGTAGTATTCACACCGACATATATATATATATATATATATATATATATATATATATATATATATACAAACAACCCACCATCATTCAAAGAAAAGTACTGCCGAGGAAAATCCATCGATCGCATGCAATTACAATCAAAAAACGTACCGACATTATTTTTCTCCCTTAAATTTAACATGAAAAACTTGTTACTAATATACATTTGATGTGATAAAAGAAGAACCGTACATGTTATGTAACTATATATAACAAAAGTAGAATATTGATTTTTGCGTAAATTTTCAATTGAAGACTTTGAATAGTGAGAACAACAGAGATATAGTCTAAAATGTTAAATAACATTGTTAATATAAATAAGTAGGTAAATATAAATAGTATGTATCATTAGTCGAAAGTGAAACACTTAGTGGCAGAAGGTTGAGAAAATCAAAAAGAAGAGAATAAGAACAGTGAACTTTTGGTATAGAAACGAAAGAATAATAAAATCTAAGACAATTGATGAATATTTTGCAAATAAATTATTTGCTGTATAGTTCACAGATTTTACCAAGATATTCTATAATGTTATATAAAGAACATTTGATTGTCCCCACTGGTGTTCTCGTTCACAACAGTAGTAGTAGTAGTAGTAGTAGTAGTAGTAGTAGTAGTAGTAGTAGTAGTAGTAGTAGTAGTAGTAGTAGTAGTAGTAGTAGTAGTAGTAGTAGTAGTAGTAGTAGTAGTAGTAGTAGTAGTAGTAGTAGTAGTAGTAGTAGTAGTAGTAGTAGTAGTAGTAGTAGTAGTAGTAGTAGTAGTAGTAGTAGTAGTAGTAGTAGTAGTAGTAGTAGTAGTAGTAGTAGTAGTAGTAGTAGTAGTAGTAGTAGTAGTAGTAGTAGTAGTAGTAGTAGTAGTAGTAGTAGTAGTAGTAGTAGTAGTAGTAGTAGTAGTAGTAGTAGTAGTAGTAGTAGTAGTAGTAGTAGTAGTAGTAGTAGTAGTAGTAGTAGTAGTAGTAGTAGTAGTAGTAGTAGTAGTAGTAGTAGTAGTAGTAGTAGTAGTAGTAGTAGTAGTAGTAGTAGTAGTAGTAGTAGTAGTAGTAGTAGTAGTAGTAGTAGTAGTAGTAGTAGTAGTAGTAGTAGTAGTAGTAGTAGTAGTAGTAGTAGTAGTAGTAGTAGTAGTAGTAGTAGTAGTAGTAGTAGTAGTAGTAGTAGTAGTAGTAGTAGTAGTAGTAGTAGTAGTAGTAGAAATATTTGTTTTACACACGAATATGTATCACCAACTAAATGAACTAAAAAACTGATCAAAAGTACTATGTAAGATACATCAAGTTAATATTCAGAACGTTGTGGATGAATTTAGAAGTGTATTTTAAAGGTCGATTGAGAAATTAAGTATATTACACAACTGTACTAAAAAAAAGTAGATTATTCTTCGATTTCACTAGTTGAAATCATGAGTCAATTGAAGCTAGACCAAAATGGGAAACTTGGAAGCACTGGACGGCCTGGAGTTCCAGTAGGGAGCCGTGATCAGTGGAGCCCAGTCTGTATTGAGTGTGAGACGGTTATTCACTTAAAGTAATGGGTGATATATACGTTAAAACTGTTGGATGCCGGTTAAGTGGTTTAGAGGTTAAGCGTTGGTGCACGAGATCAAAGGTCCTGGGTTCGGGTCACGTGTGCGGGATCGTGGATGCGCATTGTTGAGGAGACCAGTACAAATCGCCCGTACAGTACTTCCAGGTTTTTGACGGGTAATTTAGAAACATTAACAAAATCTAATGTTTATACATATGTTCCAGATCATTACGGATTAAAAAGGAAGCAGCTTGATAAGTTGCACTTTAAAATGTGCTCGAAATTACATGAAAACACATTAACACCGTTCAATTTCTGTTCATTGATCCTGAGAGTAACTAGTTACACTCAAGCCCGAAGGTCTTGGATTTTATTCTCAGTTGCAGAGTCGTGTATGTTAACTACTGAAGAATCCCATACTAAGGCAAAACAGCAGTCCATTGGTTCCAGGTTTTTAATGATGGGGTAACTTAGATCAGTTCGTAATTTAAAAACTTTGAGAACACATTTGAATGATAGTTGTCATTTTTAAATGATATTAACTGAAAAACATTTAAAAATCAGACAGAACAAGACCAAACTTTTCTCGTGACGTCAAAATCTCCCTCCATAATTTGGTTGATAGAATTTGATCACCACGAATGAACTAGACAAACACGACACTGGCCACTACACAGTAATCAAACTATGTTAAATAACTCAGCCATACAGCAGGTAAATGGCTAATTGAATAGTTCAATCGTAAAATTTCAGATGGTTAAATTAGGCGATTGTTTTGAACTGATCCAGATACGCTTGGATGCTGAATAAATTTCTCAAAAAGGTTAGCAAGTGTATTAACAATGATAAAGATAATAATAATAATAGCAATAATGACAATGGTAAGATGTATGGACAAGAGAAGTTTGGGACATAAAAATGAACATTAATCAAATTAATTACTGCAAAGCTCTAGCTAGTTGAACCGAATACCAATCGCTTCAACTGTCTACAGGATTTTCAGTCTGACGGAATTAGGTAGACTGCTGTTAACACGACATACTATTGAGAAAGACTGCCTAACTGTGAATAAAAAGCCTCTGTATACACGTTTACAATTCAGAGGCGATGCACCTAGTGAAATACTGAGACTAAGGCTGAAAGGTTGAAAGATAAATTGCCTACACTAACCACTTCTTTCTTTATCTTTCATTTCAACTACTCCTGTGGAGCAGGTTATATTGATAGATATTCAGGCTCGTGAGCACCTCCCAGTTTGGTTGAGTAAAGGTGTAATTTAAACTGTTAACAGCTCCATTCTAGTTCATTTAATTCAGTCAACATGAAGCAACATTTCGCAGTAATATATCGTGTTAACATCAGTCTACCTAATTCTGTCAGACTGAAAACCCTGCAGACGGCTGAAACAATTGCTATTCGGATCAAATAGCCAGAGCTTTACATCCAAAAGAAATATGTTCAGCCGCTCCTTTTACCCTGACCAACTTCAGGGCCAACTAATCAATAAATGATGTACTGTACCTTAAATCTGACCAATTTATAGATTATTAATCTGGATTTACAATTGTAGAACCTGATGAGAAATTATTGAACTGAATATTCTTCGTTCAAACAATTGTGTTTTAATATAATAGGAAGTTTTCAGCGATTATGATACACTAATTGACGAGTCCCAAATGGGACGATACTTTGTCCTGGATTTAGCTGCTATTCACCACTCATCTCTGCCCATAATGCTTGTCGCTTAAAGTAATGTCTAGGTTATCCACACAAGATGCTCATATGCCAATAAAAGAAACTGATCATTGGCAGTTCCAACCATCAACAAGATTCAACTAACCAAGACAAGATGAGTATATCTTCTAGTCTATTTAAAAAAAGAATAATAATGATAATTTGAAGACAATGGTGTACGGTGGCGCAACTTCGTGGATTGGTTGAAGTTAGACATTAACACCGTTGGATGCCGGCTCAGTGGTCTAGTAGTTAAGTGCTCGCACGCGAAGCCAGTATGTCCTGGGTTCGAGCCCCACGTGGTGCGGGATCGTGGATGCGCACTGCTGAGGAGTCACATACTAGGATGAAACGGCCGTCCAGTGCTTCCAGGTTTTCAATGGTGGTCTAGCTTCAACTGACTCATGATTACAATCAGTGAAATTTCTAAAAATCTCCACAAAGCCCATTCTGATAATTTTCATTCTGTTTTCTAAAACATGTAAGTAGTCATGTTCGTGCCCCAATTCTCGATGACCTTGACCCCTATGATTAAAAAGGTAAGAGATAATCAACATTAAAGCAATGGATAAATGGTGTATGCATAGGCATATTTCTGTATGTATATAGGTTTATGCAAATATTTTACAGGTCAAGGTTTTTTGACCTAAGAAATCATTGTCATTATAAAATAATAATAATGAATAATTTATTGAGATTAGATATAAACAGCTATTGAAAACTAAATATCACTGAACAGATGCTTTATTGTAATATAGAATGTACTCTCTTCAGTAGCGTGTATCTATAATCTATACAGGTGATCAAACAAAAGACTTTTCGAACTAACTGTGAACAAGGTATATTTCGGCCAATGGTGCAAGTGTCTTAATTTCATTATCAGTTTACGGTATTGTATGATTATCATTTAGTAGTCAATTATGTATTCTTGAAAAACTAGTAGAATACATATTTATTAACTCCGCTTCTGATACTGATAAATAAGCTTCCTATACGCAGGTTCACATCGCCTACTTTAGTGAGAAGACGGTGAGTGAGAAAGAAATTTTATTTCTAACTGCAACAAATTAATTTCGTTTTGATTATCAAACTACTATTGTAGTCAAATTCTGAAATACACAGTAGGGTATAGTCATAGCCATTAATCGGAATCGGACAAGGAACTTTATTTAATTTCCATTGACATACATGCCAACTTAAGTTTATTTCAACCTGGAATGATTAGACAAATAAATGTGGATTCATTTTGTTAATTAGCATCTGGTTACTTCATTTTGTGTTAGAATGCGGTTAGATACAAAAAAAGTTGAAGAATGTAAACTTTTTTTCGTAATTCCAATGGAACTATCTCATTAAATAGGGAAAACGACGTATTCAAATAATTCTCTGACTCTCATATGATTCTATCGAGTTACCTTAGGTTAGTGAATACGTTCTAGCTTTGGTTCGTACTTGAACTTTGACTTCATGTTGACGCTTGTATATTCGCTAAGGCAAAATAAGAAAAGCGTACGGGAGATACGAAAATCGAAGTAGGACGTTTAATAAGTACTTCCAATCCAATCGGAAATAGTTTGGATCATCTCGTTAACATTTTTGACAGAAATATGTGAATCCTGTGCTGGTTGCCTCGATATAGCTATGGTGATATTAAATAGATGAAATGGAGCTAGCAGTAGAATCTAGGATGTGTCTTTCATCCCATTTGATAAATCCGGCTGATGAGACCAAAATAGAACGAAACGCGCATCCTGAATCCCATTGCTAGCCATATTCCGTCTATTTTATATCCAGCACTTTCTTATGTCCTAAGCTTTTTACAGCTGTCTTTGGTGATACTTGCTCGATTTGATCTAATTAGCAGTTATTGTAAACAATTATCTTTACTGATGAAACGAATCTTCTGATGAATTAACATGGTTATGTCACAATGTTTGAGTGGGTGATACATTTTCTCCTTAATCCAAGTATCAAATAAATGTCAACAGTGACAATACATATTATAATGATATATTGAGCAGACTGTTATTTTTGTATAGTTTATGTCATGAACTGAACACTGTTAATAAACATATACTGAACTCTAACAGACAGTATGTGTTTTAATGAATCAAGATAGTGGATATCAATATAATCCAATGATGCAAGATTTACCTGTAACCTAGTGCTGACGATCACATTTGATACTAGAAGGATTGAATAGCCTATTCACAGACAATCAGTTAATACACATCCATTGAACAATAATCAATACAAGGCTATCTATCTATCATAAACAGTTAATTAATTTATTATTTCAACACATAAATATTGGTACAAAAGGGCACCAAATATATATGCGCCACACTTTGTGTGAGGGCTGTGATACTGCCCGGGTACCCAGACCGAAGCAGGTGAATTTCTTAGGGGGCCACAACCCGAGCCTTCGACCTAAAGGTCTAACCCACAAGGCAGTGAAGCATCGTGAGGAGATGCAGTCCCATGGTATCCGGTGGCCAAAAATTGATTCATACGCCATTTGTTACCACAGGATACTGGGACACATGTGCACCATTGTTTTGGAATCCGGCTGAAGCCCCGGACATTCGCCTTTCGTCCTCTCATTTTCGTAAACAACACCCCCGCCACGAGAAGGCAACAAGTAGGACTTCCCTGGCAGAGGCTGTGTACACGTGGCCATGTGAGAGCATTCTGAGAGAAAGAGCGAGCCCACCCCACTCTCGGCCATACCAGGGCGTCTGGAGGTCATTACAGTTAAACAACTTAGCAACAAGAGTTTCAGCTTAATTCTCTTTTTAATTGACATCAGTAATTAATATCCCTTTTAGAGTAAACAAATATTTAACTTCATTTCTTGATATGTGAATTATTTTAATGTTTCGATAAACACCTGTTGTTGGTGTAATGTTGACTTCCATTTGAATAATATAAGAAAATAAGACAAACAATTGTTTATCGAGTATTTATATTGTTATG